TCAAAATAATAATCCATATCATTAGGCACTGTGATTGAGAACCTAATGCGTCACACACAGAAAGAGAACTAGATGAACGAGATTTATTAATTAATTAATTGACAAGTATTGAAAAGTTAATTAAATGGATTGCTTGTTAACAGGCTCAAATTAGGTTATTGACCAAATTTAATTAATCGTATTAATTAAATATTGGATCAGATAAAGTTAAGAGACGGGCAAAGTCCACTTGGACCTACACCCCGTTTGGAGGGCATTTTTTGGGTCAAAAAAATCATTTCCCTACCGTTACCACCTGCTGGCAGCCATAACAATTGATCATTACATTCTCATGTGGGGCCAAGTGACCAACAAACGGTCCAAAAATTCATTTTCTTTTTCCAAAAAATGCTCTCCAAACAAATGCCTATATTAATAGGTTGCTAAGGTTTGAAAAAACTCGGGAGAGAACTCTTTTTGCTAATACAAGAAAAGTAAAAACTTTAGTTATCTCAACTTTTTTCCTTGTGCGAATTTTCATTGGATGCTGAACAATTGGATATGTGTGGATTGCAAATCGTGATGGTTCCTATGCCAAAATCAGTAATGGAGTTCGCAGAATTTATCAAATGTATGATTCTAAACACAATTTCCATCCAAGTACAAGGAAGATCTTCGATGAGAATTGAAATTTGTTTTATTTTCGTCTGTGTATGATTAAATAAATTCCCAAGAAAAGGGTTGGTAAATTGTTCACCGGGTGATTTTTAGACTGGTTTTTGTTCCTTTCTCTTCATTTGTAGTTGTCGAAAAACAAGCTAGCCAAGTGAGTGTTGTTTGGTTATTGTTTGCATTATCTCAAGATGTGAAAAAAATCAGAACAAAACTAAGCTGTCGCCAACTACAGATAATATAAACCGCTAGAAGGACAGATATCAATAAAGACTACAATTCATCAAAAGAGATTACATTGGATCGTTTGTCAAAAGCCAATGCTATGATTATGAAATTACATTCTGAATCATGGCATCAAGGTAACAAATTTCTCCCATGATCAAATTGTCGCAAGTTCTAAATTAATTTCAATTTAACGCCAAAATGATAAATGAAAATATAAAGTAGAAACTACGAACTAATGGAAAAATAAAATAAAATTTAGGCGTCCTTAGATGTACATCCTCGAGATTCGTAACATAGTGAAAAACAGATTAGCAATCCTAGCAATAACTTATTAAATAGGTTAAGTAATATAAGCAGACAATGGTCAAGAATCCACTTAATATATCCATTTAAAAAGTAGACATTGTATATATAGAGCTTATTTGTTTTTCATTTTTATAATAAGAATACATTTTGGAATAGTAGATTTATGGAGATGTGTGGTTAAAAAAGAAGACAAATGTCCTTCATATAATCGAGTTTCAACATGGTTTGCGAAATGAGATTGCCCTGTTTCTTCCCAGTTGACTCTTCCCTTAGCGTCATGGAAATTTGTGGTTGTGATCCGGATGCCGTATTGAGCTCTTTATTGTTTGCTTTCTTTCTTCCCATATTGTACGTGAATATGCTAATTTGGCTTCTCAGGAATTTTAACAAACAGCTAGTGAACGGAGCTTTGAAGAAAGGAACACAGTGTTAATTTCTCTTCTTGTACGGGCGTCCCAAATCTTCAACAATGCAGTGTTTATAGTGTGTGTTTGAGCAACATTATTTTAAAAGAATACATTTTGAAATAGTAGATCGATGGAGAATGTATGGTTAAAAAATGAGAAAACGTTTTAAATTTATGTGTAATATTATTTTATTGAAGACCATATGATTGAAATGATGTAAAATCACCGTTTAAGAATATATTTCTTTTTGAATAAAATGTAGCTCAAGCATGACCAAAAATAAACCAATTTCATTATGGTAAGTTCCCAATCAAAATTAACTTTCTTTAACCGTCCGAGATCGGTCCCTTATTTTTCTTAGCATCAATAGGTGAAGAGTTGTCATCATTCCCTTATTATACTTGAATTTTTATTTCCATTCTTCACTCAAACACGTCATTCTCCAATTATTCAATTTGTAATCAAACTTGCCACTTAGTCCATCCACTTAATTATATTTATTTTTGAGGCTCTTCTATTTCTTATTTGTTGGACTTTTGCCCAATTTCACGTAACGTGAGGCGGAAAAAGTCACGAAAAACATGGGCTGAAAATAAAGTAGCGGGGCAGGAGCTGAGGCTGCCCGCTTCGTCCCCCACACCATCGAATATTTCTGGGAAGCATGCTGAGGTGAAGGCAGGATGGGAACTAAAAGTATCTTTGTTTATTGTCCAGTTACATTTTTGTTTGTTCAACTTTTATTTTTTTTAAATACAAAAATGTGAAAATAAAATAAAAAATAATAATCGAGGCAAAAAAAACCGAGAACCATCTTTACACGGGTTCTCTGCCCCGTTTGGAGCGGGTCAGGGCATTTTGCTAAAACGTGAGCGACATTACAGAGCCGTGAAGAGAAATCAACAGTTAATCAGATAAAGAGCCCAATGGCCTAGCCGCCTAAGTGGTGTTATATGTATAGAAAAAAAACTTACTGGGGGAAAAAATAAATTCGTTAGAACTTTTCAACATTTCTTTGTGAGCATCGGATCATAAATTTCGGTCTCTCATTGAGATACTCTCGACCTCTCACCTAATTTCATTTTTGAATGAAAAAATAAAGCATTACAAATACTAGAACGTAAAAAAGACTCTTAGTCATAGAAAGAATCTCTCAATCAAAATAGAGAAATGAACATTGATCTAAAAGTAGAATTAAGCACATTTTTATTGGTGCATATCTTCGAGAATGACTCCATACTTGAAAATGGAGATGAATGTGATGAACTTTGAAGTTGGAGAATTTTTACGAAGAATGTGATCCAAATTGAGAACTGAACATAGATCTAAAAGTCAAATTAATCACATTTTTATTGGCGCATATCTTTGAGAATGGCTTCACACTCGAAATTGGAGATGAATATGATGAACTTTGAAGTTGGAGAAATCTTGCAAAGAATTTGAAACTTAAAATCAAGTTTCAAGACATTTTACTACGTCGTTTCCTTAAGATGTTACTCGTCTCCACTACAACGTGATATAGGCCCCGTTTAGGAGGGATTTTAAGAATTGATTTTTTGACCGTTAGAAGACAAGTGGGGTCCACCTGCGAGAGAAGAAGTAAAAAAAAATTACGGCTGAAATGATGAAATAACGGTCAAAAAATAAATTTTTTAGAGTAAAAAATCCCTCCCTAACAGGCTGATACTAGGAGTTATGCAAATTATTTTCAAGATATAACAGAACAAAATACATTATTCGTATTGTACAAAAACGAAGATAACCTCAAACACAAATTATTGATAACTTAATATAATAGAAGGTTTGTGTTCTGTTTTGCAGTTTGACATGATAAAATCGATTTTTGAGAGTAATTGATGCAAAAAAATAAATGGGAATAAGAATTTGAGAATCACAAATTTAAAATGCATTTCACATGTTCTAGAAGTTGCATCCTTTCAGTGGGGGCCTCTCAATAAGAATTTAGAAATTCAAAGACATCAAAAGAAAAAAACAACACACAAGCCAAATTAATAGTATTGTGCTGTGCTAGACTTCTATCTTCTGTTTACACAAGCCATTATATTAGAACTCTAGTTCTTTGCCATTCGTAATTGTAGATTTTAAAATTGGGTCGAATGTGTTCGTCCAATCAGAAAACTAATTAATCGGACATTAGTCTGGGCTGGTTGGTATACTTGTATCAATTGACAATTGAAATGTTTGTGACTGACTCAACCTCTCTAGTTTTGAGAAAAATCAGCGATTTGATAAGACTAAATCTGCCGAATTTTTCGAAACTAAAAAATGTTGAATAAGACAAGCAATTCATATAGGTAAATCGACCCAACATCTATGTATTTTAATTAGGAATGGAAATGGGGCTTGGATTTGGAGTGAGCAAATATTCATGTCATGTTCCTTCGAGAACTTTTTAGCTTAAGATTCGATTGGATGATCTCGAGTTTGAGATTGAACGACCAATGCCCATACCTATCTCCAACTCAAGTCGGAGCAATATATATATATATAATTTTTTTTTTTTTTTTTTTTTTTTTTTTTTTTTTTTTTTTATTTTTTTTTTTTTTGTTTTGTTCTCTATATATAATTTCCCTTCTAATCATAGAACTCGCAATAAGACACGTTACCATTGTGGCACCAAGTGGTTGTTAAGAACTTGTCTACTTTGAGTGGCTGAGAATGTGAATTTGCCAGAAGAATCTAGCACATATTATGGAACGGAATCATCTTCACAAATCACAATTCTATGGTGGGCTCTTATTAGCTTGGAATTATACGTGAATTCAATAGTAACTTGTTGCAATTCTTATCATGTGATGGACCACGTCTACTTTTTCTGTTTTTATTTGCTAGGCGAAATTGAAAATAGGGACGATTAAATTTGTATATTTTTCAAACAGTACTCAGTTTGATTCGTTTCACACCTAATTTTCGTCTCAATTTAATAAATTGTCTTCTATAAAACGAGGATTTTTTTTAAAAGCTGTTCGGTACAGAAATATTTAGCCCTTTTTTATGGGAATTAAAATCAGATTTTTAACAGATTTTGATAAAAATGATGAAATTTGTAATTGAGAAATTGTGGATCTCATGAAATAGATGATTAAATTAATAATTGATTTTAAGTTAGATTAAAATATGAATTTTAATTTCTATCAACTAGGGGCCTATTGTGTATGTAACAATTAAAAGGGGGGGAAAACAGCAAATGAAAATAGAGAATACACAGTGAGGCAGAACAGTAAACACGTTTTTATTATATCCTGAAATACTAAAGTCGTATGGGCGTCCGATTTTGAAGAAGTTTAACGGAAACCGACACGTGTAGTTTCCAACTAAATCACCCCTTTGTTGGCATCACCGGTTTCCCAGAAACCCTTCGCGTTGCTTATATACCACAAACAAATGTGGCAAATACTTCAAACCAAATACAATAAAAATCTCATCTCTCTTTCTAAAATTTATTGGTTTTACAATAATCAAAAGCCTTGTTTACACCCCAATCTCTTCTTAATAGTTTTCGTTTTTCGTGCTCTCTGTTAATATTCATAATCTAAGTTATTTCTTCCACGAATTTCTGTTTTTTATTGGGATTTTTGGCTGAAATCAATTGGGGATTTCTGTGTATATATAATTTTTTTTTCTATCTTTTGGCTTCTGGGATTGATTATTTAGGGCGTGGTCGTTGTTAATCGTAATACTAATCGTGTTGGGGGTGGTGGGTGTTGTTTAAATTTCAGATTAGGTTTGTATACTTTGATGGGGTTCTAATACAGGTCAGATCTTTACCATTTTTATGCCTTTTTTTTTGTGAGATAAACTTGTGTGTCACGCAGTGATTTCTCACAAAAGAAATTCTGTCGGCATAGTTTAAAATTTTTATCGGGTTTGCGTATTGCTATTGGATTTCGTGCTATCTAGTAATTACATGATAGGACTTGATTTAAAAGAATATTCGTGAAAGTTAATGCCATAAGGGCTCCCCTGTATCCGTGGTAGCCAGATTTGGTTACTACTTTACATCATTAAGTAAAATTTTTTGAAGTCAAATTGTAGTTGGGTTCTGCTATTTTACAGTTATCGCCAGTTAATAAAGATGGAGTCAATTTCTGCAACATCCCTTTTGGGTCATCGACCTGTTTATGGAGGTTATTGTAGCAAGGATGTTTCAGGCAAACGAAAGCAGGTCCAGCATTTCCAGCTTCCTTTTACAGAATTTCTACGAAGGAAGGTTTCTTTTCCAATTTCTTTGCCGGGATTGCGAGTTGATAAACAAACAGTGCCATCGATAAAGGCTCAGGCAATGGAATTGACAAAAGAGGCATATTCCTATAGAGAAAATGTGAAAATACCGAGGGATTTTGGATATGGGATTGATACTGGTGTTGGTCGTAGACCAGGGTTGTGGCCACCGGAGAATAGGGCGGATAATCCCGTACTTCAAAATCCATTGCTTCGTCAAGAAAGAATGGGCTGTGGGTGGTTAGGTGCTATATTTGAGTGGGAAGGTGTGTTAATTGAAGATAATCCTGATCTTGAGAACCAGGCCTGGTTGGCTCTTGCTCGTGAAGAAGGGAAATCCCCACCTCCTGCTTTTATGCTCCGAAGGATAGAAGGAATGAAGAATGAGCAGGCAATATCAGAAGTTCTCTGCTGGTCGAGAGATCCAGCCTCGTTGAAGCGAATGGCATTTAGGAAGGAGGAGATTTACCAAGCTCTGCAAGGTGGGATTTATACATTTCGCTCAGGTTCTCAAGAGTTTGTGAATGTTCTGATGCATTACAAAGTACCAATGGCTTTGGTCTCTACTCGCCCAAGAAAATATCTTGAGATAGCAATGCGAGCAATAGGTATTGAAGGGGTCTTCAATGTCATCGTAGCAGCAGAGGATGTCTACAGGGGGAAGCCCGATCCCGAGATGTTTGTGTATGCAGCACAGCTTCTTCAATTCATACCTGAACGGTGTATAGTGTTCGGGAACTCGAATCAAACAGTCGAGGCTGCACATGATGCAAAGATGAAATGTGTAGCTGTTGCTAGCAAGCACCCAGTATACGAGCTTGGGGCTGCTGACCTTGTTGTGCGGCGCCTTGATGAGCTCTCGATAGTAGATTTAAAGAACCTTGCAGATATTGAATCAGCTGAGTTCGGGTCTGGGGAGCCAGAATTGGAGATGGAGGAAGAACTAGAAGCTGATCGATACCCGTATTCTTCTGTAGGCGTCGATGATGATTTCTGGTGACACTTTCTCAATGTACAGTATGTTGTTGTTCTCGATCTAATTCCAGTGATGAAAATGCCACTTCTGTCGTGTATAAAGATAGGAAACAGAAGAAGAAAGGTTCAAATTTGGTGTTAAAGAAATCAAAAAGCTAGAAAACAAACTGAAAATTAAAAAAAATAAAAAAATCATCATATGATAATTATAATTACTAATTGTAATTGTTATTAATTAATAGTCCATTTCCAATAAGTGTTTATGCCATATTGTCTGGATTATTTTTATGATAATATATTCTGGACTTTTACTATCTATACCAGATTCTTGAGAGTTAGAAGATATGGAAGTTTCTTTTAATTACATGGGCCTATGGTACCTGGTGACACTGGGAAAAGTTATATTGGCGAAATGCTAGGTGTAGTTGTCACAAATCTATTTGACGAGAGTCTCATGTGCATTTATGTATGTGCATCTTTCTAATTTGATGGTGAAAAATCTTTTTATTCAAGATATTATTCCTGAGGATTGAATAATTGAAGGAATTGTCTAATAACTACATAGGCTCAAGTGCAGGGCAATCTGGAAAATTTAGATTGGATTAAAAGCTATTAGCTACTAGAGAGATATTATGCCTGGCAGACACAAATCTAATTGTGAGTCTTGCATATATTAATCAATCTATTTACTGGATAGTAACATGGTGAAAAATTAAATTGGGTTAAAGCTTCCACGAATAAATGTTATGGTTGGCAGTCATAGATCTACTCGTCTAGAGCCTTGTATGGATTAGTCTTATATGTGTCCATCTTTTAATATTCAAGATAGATGTGAGATGCATGCTTTGGCATTTAACTTCTGTTTGCACAGCTTGTCACAAAATGATTTTTGCTTGTGAAGAGTAATGGATGTCAGATGCATGCATTTGAACATTTTACGTTTTCTTTCATATTTCATGGCTTTTGTACTCTTTAGGTGTCTTCAATGAGGCTTAAAATGGAAGCTTTTGGTTTTATGTATCCGAGAGATGTCTTGAATATATTGCCTCCAGCAATCTTTAGCTAAATTAGTTAAAACATTCCATGTCTACGCGATCCCCCCCCC